TTTGAGCGCTACTGTAGCTCTAACCCTAACATTTGCGTGTCACCTCTAATGTAAATTGTTCAATTGAGTGTTCTTGGTAATAGCGACCTCCAGAAGCAGAAGAGTGCGTTTTTTAAGGGTTCCGAGAAACAAAGATAATGAGCTAGAAACAAAGATAATGAGACAGTTGTGCATAAGTAGACGTGGAGCTCATCTTTCCTTGAGTGCATGGCTTAATTAGAAAATGTTAAATTCCGCGCGATAGTTGAGGACGACCGTAGTATAAACTTAGGAACTTCGGGTAATCACGAAGAATTGATATAGCACAATGTCCGACGCTACGCAGTCCTGATGACGAGCAGTGAACTCTTTTTGCTTCATCACACGAAATGACCTCATAGTGTTTGACTGGCAGATGTACGATCTCTTCGCCCTGCAAAACACTTTTATGCAAGAATTAAAGCTCATATATTACTTCTGAAATAGTCGCACTTTGGCAATGGCGATAAAAGCACAAAGAGATTGTTGAGAATATCTTTATTAATGGCTTACAATACAGGAAATGTCACATAAGTAAGTATCCACATAGTTGCTTAACAGCCTAAAAAAGAAATTCTGTTAGATAGTGCTCTATGTCATAATTTTGAAGGTGTGCCATCGAAGGTATTGTCATGATAGATGTATGTAAGTGGATTTTTACGAATGACAGAAAGCAAGATGACTGATATCAAAAGAGGAATCGGACGGTGTCGTACAGCACTGCAAATAATTCGTTTTCAAACGGCGGATTGCGACGGAATAATCGGCTTCCGTTAAACCGTTCAGATTGATCTGATTCGTCGCAACTTTTGCTGAATTGCTCTATTTGCGTTGGAAATAATATCCGCAAAAAGCTCCACTCATGCAAATACGCGTGTTCGAGGAAAGCTTGACTTTGTTCCATTTTTCACCTCAATTTTTCGAAATGTTGAGGATTGAAACAGCATTGCAATCTCTCCACTTCAATTGAAATCTCCGTTTCCAGTGTAAATACGGCGGCACTATATTCCAAAAAACATGAGAAAGTGTACTCCAAAAAAAAAACATGAGAAAGTGACGATTTCAATTGCCCTAACGGAATTTTCAGCGAATTCAAAACAGTGGTTCAAATTACCAATTTCTCAAATACTTGCTCGCTAGCACTTTTTTCAGCTATGCATTTTACAGAAACTGAGTTGTTTTGCATTCATTCAGAGACTCGGATAATGTGATATAGAGAACACAAACGGAACCATGTTGTAGGAACCTGGTCAACAGGCTGTTTCATTTCAAACTCCTCAGTAAGTTTCAATTGGTGCACATTTCACGATTACTTACACTGCTTCTAGAGTGTTTGAAAAACCTAGACTCCGAACATTTCAAATTCTCATTCTTTTGAATCATTTTTTTTACTTTGATTAGGTGTTTCTCTTCAGCGCATGAAAACCATCATATTTAAATGAATCACCACTCGTTCATCATTTTTTTACACTTCTTGATGAAGAGCAAGCAAATTCTAGGGGGCGAGGAATGATTGATCAACTCAACAGCTCTTGCTACTACCTTAGAAAATAAGACCATTTACTTGGAATTGCCATTCCTTAGTTTGATGCATGTAGTCTTCTCGTGGCTGAATACCTCATAATCGAAGCAAGTTCTCGCCTTGAAAAAGAGTGCGCAACTAGCTCTGTGAAGCCAACTTCGTCAGGGTTCTGTAAACATTAATTCTAATAAGTTATCCGTTTTTTCCTCCAATCGTGTGGTCTTATTTAGTGGTAGGGCCAGTATCTTCAACTTTGCTATCGACATCTTTCGGGATCATTGGGTTTACATGTCAATGTTTCTCTGAGGCACATGATAAATTCTTCGTAGATGTATTGCATTTTTTATATTAACGGAGGAAAATTCTAGATTTACTTGCCTCAAATGATGATAAAACAAATGTTGAAATCTTGAAGAAGCAAACAATTCAAGAATGACTGAATGCCCAACAGGTGGATTGTTATGAAACGGTTCATTACGACTATCAACTGCTGATGAATTTTAGATCCGTAGGATTGGATTGATGCGCACTAAACAAACGCCGTATCCCCCTAAACAAAGGTTACACAGAATGCACCCTAAGACTGAGTGGGCTGCTTCCTGGCGTACCGGTGAGGGAAGCGAGTGGTTCACTCAGAACAACTGACAATGATATGGAAATAATTGTATAGTCTATTCGGTTAGCCAGGTTCCCATTTACTAAGTGCATTTGTGCAGCAGGGAAATATCTGTGTATTATACAATACTTTGACGGTGACGTAAGCTCTTTAGCAATAGTAGCATGCAAGCAGCAAGCTGTCGTGTGCAAAATGTCACAGCATGACTTAACATGTCGAAAATCAGCCATCTGTTAATGTTACAACGGCTTATTTGAAGAAAGCTGAAGCTACAAGCAATTCAAAGTGGTCTAAAAAGATTTGTTACCCAAAGCTGAACCGTACTTCTCAGGCTTGGTAAGCTTTTCATCCTTTCACCATCAAAGTTTTGGATCTCTCATGTCGGAGCACGATGATCAATAAAGTACAGTACAGCTATTACAACTTAGGACCATGACTCCAATCAATTAAGCTCACTTAGGAACACACCTAACCTTTTTCGAATATCCAATCTTGACAACTAATCAAACTCAATTCACATGATAATAGAGAAACGAAAACTTTTCAAGCGTTGCCGCTTTTAGCCCACATTAAAGCTGATTGACCTCGCACCTTGGAAGTATTCGTGAAATGTACATCTATTGAAAACTAGTATGAACTTCCAGATAGAGAATTGTGTTGACCACATACCTGCGCCTAGTCTATCAAGAGCTCTTTGTATCAAATATTTAAAGCCTTGAAACGAGTGCAAAATCAACTCGCTTTCCATGAAATGCACCTCTGAAAAGAACTAACGAATTCTCGAAAAACTGTCATTCAAAATCTAGCCTAAACTGATTAAAATTTGTCTGAAGTATATCAAAATGAAACGATTCCATGAATTTTTGAGTCATATATGTATATCTTTCAGAAATCGTGAACAAAATTTGCAATTGAAGTGAGGGATGTTATTCCCGCAGATAACACCTCATACTCGAAGATCATTCGTCGTCGATATTCCAGAAGCGAAGTTGCAAAATTGGATGAATCAAAAATTCTTTGTATGGCTGGTACGAATTCTCCATAAGCAGGGCTGTACACTGGACTTTCGTTCGAATAGATGGCCGGAAAGAAACAGCAAAGTGTGAAAAACTGTTAATTGCTATCACTGAATCGTTCAGCTGAAAGTGTCTAAATTATGGCTGCCACCATTATTTTTTGTTTCTCCGATCAAACATATATGTACGGTCAGTTTAGTACCGCTGAGGAAACCTAGGCACTTTCGCAAGATTCATGTACGTCCCAAAAGCTGTGCACACAGTAAAAACTCTGATTCGCGATCATATCTCAGGTCCAGATCGACCTCAGCACGGCAGTAGCAAAGCACAAGTTATCTACAAGGATCTTGACTGATGTACGAATTTCTGCTGCCTACTATAATTCCCCCTCCAATCAAAATCTCTGAGTATCCATTTTGAAGACTCAATCGTATACAATTAATGAAAAAAAATATCATGATACTTCTTTTGTACAGGAGATGCTGCTAAATCCAGCAAGCCAGTGAAAGGACTTTCTCCTGGGACAATGGCACCCACCAGTGGGTGCCATTCGCGCTCGAAAGCAAGGAAGCGTGGTCCCATGAGCGTACCACGTCGAAAGGGTTTTCGTCATCAAAGGTTTAATCCGTCACAAACAGTTTTATCTGTCGCAAACGTCGGTTGACACTAATTTTGTAGCAGTATTGTATAAGGATGCGCCAGCAGTGGCGAACATGAAAACCAAATCGCGAGGTCCGTTATCGCAGAGCGCTCAGCTTTTAACTGATGTAGGGATTCGAATAAT